CTCTACATTAGGGTCCCTTTTGGGGGGTTCCTTTTTCTGAGGGTGCCTAAAGAAGGGACCCGAATTCAGAAAGTTAATTACCCGTTCGAGTTTTGGGGGCTTGGGGTTATAAGGTCTCAGGGCTGGCGGTTTCGGTTTTATGTTTGCCCTAAACCCTAAGCCCCTATAGGATGTTGTTGCTTGTAGCCCTAGCTTCGGCTTTTTCTCTAAACCCTAAACCCTAAAGTCCAAAGTCCCTAAAAGTCAGAAGGGCCAGCTCTTTCCCGCTGGCCTGACCCGCAGGGGCAGGGTTCAGGATTTAGGGTCGGAGTTCCCTAAATCTAGGACATTTTCAGGTGGGTAGCTGCCATTATAGGAGCCTTATAGAAGGTTTATCTACCTTATAGAAGCCCTATGTACCCTAAGCTCCCCACCTGTAGCTTCCTTTAGCTAAACCCTTAGGGTTTAGGGCTTTAGGGGTTTTAGGGTGTAGAGTTTAGGGTTTGGGGGAACAAAGGGTCTCTATAACCCTATGCTTCCACGGACCTCATTATTGGGTCCTTGAGGAGTCTAGGGTCCGAACAATATGGTCCTTGGAAGCATAAGGGTTTAGGGTTGAGGGTTTAGGGTTTAGGGTTTAGGGATAAACGATCATCTATAAACCTCCCTTTTGGTTCCTTGTGGATCTGAAAAATCAACGAAGCACCAGAAGCCAAGCCTGCAAGGGAAAAGGCCCTTATTGGGTCCTCCGTACCGGCATTAAGGCCCCCCTACCCCCCTCCCCTCTACAGGACTCCGGGAGGGGGGTAGTATTTAGAGGTTTACTGACCTTTCCCTCCACACCTCTGGAAATAATCGATGTTCCCATAGTTTTGGGTTTAGGGTTTAGGGTCCTTAAGGTATGGCAGGACTTATATCATCAACAGTAGGGCAGTCAAACCCATGCCCGATACAATCCGATCCCTCCCAGAGCTTCCAGTATCCGTTGATAAAGGACGATACCCCAAGTCATATTAGGGTTTTAGGATCCTAATGTGATGTAAGGTATCTTCCGTATCCTTTCCAATATCCCTCAATTAAGGAACATACCCCCAGTCATATTAGGGGTCCGATTATCATGTACGGTAGAATTATTCCTTCATTAACCCCTAAATCCCTAATGCCTAAATCCCTGAATCCTTAAACCCCTAAACCCCAAACCCCTAAACCCTAAACCTTAATTCCCTAAACCCTAATTCCCTAAACCCTACACCGCTAAACCCTAAACCAAGGCACTTGGAGGGTCTGGCTTCACTCTCACTTCTAACTCAGAGAACCCAATACCCCTTATTTAAGGAATATACCTTAAATCATAATGTTAAGGCCCCCATAATTTAAGGTATTTTCCTCAATTAAGGGGTATTGGGCTCTGTGGGAATAGCCCCCAGCAGGCACATCGTCCACGTGATCGAGCGGCACTTTCCCGAAGTGTCCCGATCCGTGACTGTGGTGCGCGCTCCCTGGAGCGTCGTGAGCCTTTACAACATTGTGACTCGGAGGGGTCACAGTTCGGGGCTTCTGGTTCCAGGATTGCGGGCGCCTTGCACCCTAAACCCTGCCCAGACCCTAAAACCCGTACCCCTAAACCCCCAGACCCGGAAACCCCAAACCCTAAACCCCCAAAACCCCGACACTCAGCCAAGGTGAGCCCTTGGTTGTCGCAGGATGTGCAGACGCCAGGTTTCGATCAGAAGCTGTCTCTTCGTCCTCGATAACCCCTAAGCTGGGCCTCCTTAAAGGGTGCCTTAAAGGGTTCCTTTCAGGGCTCCTTTAAGGCTTTCTTTAAGGGTGCCTTAAAGGGTTACTTTGACTTTGAGGGCTGATTTAAGGGTTCCTTTAAGGGTGCCTTACCCGGCTCCTTTAAGGGTGCCTTCAAGGGCTCCTTTAAGGGCTCCTTTAAGGGTTCCTTATTTAAGGGTGCCTTCAAGGGTTCCTTTAAGGGTGCCTTCAAGGGTTCCTTTAAGGGCTCCTTAAGGGTGCCTGCCTCGCTATCCGTGCACTGTGGCCGGCACAGTTAGTGTTTCTAGCCGCGCAAGCTCCGGTCATGGGCAATCAGTTCAGGACTTCGATGCGATGCCTCCGAGGGTCGATCACTTGCCACGCGGCGATCACCTTGTTTGCGAGGAGAGTCTCCCCCAACACCGTTGGATCCAACTCGTGCTACACCCTGCAGAATACCAAGCCCACCTCCGACGTCGTGTGCATCTCCAAGACCAAGGTCTGATCTGGGAGAAGATTGGCAAGCTGCGGATGTGTCATCTGGTTCCGGGTCTGAAGGTCGTGTTGCTAGATCCTGCAGCAGCTACAGATCCTCTTCTACTTCACGTTCTCGATCCGTGCGTGGAGGGTGTTGCAGAAGATGTGTAATGCATTGCGGTGAGACACTGCAGCGATAAGCGGGTAAGCTCGTAACATACAGGAGGCCATGCCATGACATCACCCTTTGCAGCTGGCTGGGACCCCAGACGCCCAAGCCGGCAGCAGTCCTTCGGCTCCATCATGGACTTGTCCTTCGCAAGCGGCTGGGCGCCAATGACACGGAGTTTTTCCGACCCTCACCCATGAAAGCTTGTTCTAACAGGTTCCAACAGGTTCCAACCACTCGGGTTGCATTTTGCTGCCAGTGTTGGTAGGTGACACTGTGTGTTCTCTGGCTGTAGGAGTTAGGGCGCGATGAATGTTGTGGAACTTCAGGCACCTCGCCTGGTTTGGTCATGTGCGGTGAAGGCTATATTTACGAGGCTCTTCGAGTGGCCCCGGTGTCTTTGGAGGAGCGTGCACGCGGCAGTGTTGCAGAAGATGTGTAGTGTATTGTGGTGAGAGATTGCAGCGATAAGCTTGTAAGCCTTGTAAGCTCTTAATAAACAGGAGGCACGTCACCGTTTTCTCCTTCTGCTTGTCCTGCTACATCAGCCTTTGCAGCTGGCTGGGCCTTCAGACCCAAGCCCCAAGCTTTGACCCAGTCGCAACTTTCTGCAAGTGTGAGTTGAGTCTTCTGCTTCGTCGCAGGATGGCTTGTTGTGTTATAGCTGCGATGATGAGTTTGTTTTGCGCTGACATGTTCCTTCTCAAGTTTACAGGTCTACTCCGAACCTACTGCTTGCCGGCCATGCAGGTCACTTCTATCTTGAAAGTGAAAGAGCCATGGATCTCGGACATACTGCCCGGCAAGAAGATACGGGAGATGCGAAGCTCCCATACCCGGACGCGTGGGCCAGTCGTCTTGGCTAACCAGGGCCTGCTCCGAGGCATCGTCGAGATCAAGAACTCCTTGCAGCTCGAGCCGCAGGCCATAGTGCAGAATGCGGACAAACACCGGTGCCAGCCGGAGGTGCTGCAATCCCTCGGATACAACCACGCCTGGGTTCTTGCCAACACCTTTAGATTCGAGCAGCCCGTGGCCTACGACCACCTTACTGGAGTTGTTATGTGGATCAAGCTGACAAACCAAACCGTGACCGTCCGTGATAAACTGCGTCTGGTACTCCGGTCCTATGTCTCACTTGCAGTCGTTTCTCAGCTGCGTTTGACATGTTGCCACTCGTAGTCATATGGCCATGTGCTACTCTTTTCGCCACTTGAGTGGCCCAGGAGCAGGCTGACCATGCCACAAATGCGACGTCGTCTGATTAACCTCCTACCAAGCGGCCGCGCCTGCAACCACCCACTCCTAGTCCGGCTCCTTCGACGATGTCTCTGACGTTGTCAGCCGCGCTGCGTGAAGCTGTGCAGGCGGCTGGTCTTCCCTGCTGCCAAGGGTTCCTTTTTAAGGGCTCCTGCAAGGGTGCTTTAAAGGGCTCCTTTAAGGGCTCCTTTAAGGAATCTTTTAAGGGTTCCCATAAGGGTGCCTTAAAGGGCTCCTTTAAGGGTTCCTTTAAGGGTGCCTTAAATCGCTCCTTTGAGGGTTCCTTTACTTTACGAGTGCCGTAAAAGGCTCCTTTAAGGGTTCCTTTAAGGGTGCCTTCAAGGGTTCCTTTAAGGGCTCCTTTAAGGGTTTCTTTAAGGGTGCCTTAAATCGCTCCTTTAAAGGCTCCTTCAAGGGTTGCTTTAAGTGTGCCTTAAAGGGTTCCTTAAAGGGCTCCTTATTAAGGGTTCCTTTACGGGTTTCTTTAAGGGTGCCTTAAAGGGCTCCTTTACGGGCTCCTTGAAGAGTTTCTTTAAGGGTGCCTTAAAGGGCTCCTTTAAGGGCTCCTTTAAGGGGTTCCTTCAAGGGTGCCTTAAAGGGCTCCTTTAAGGGTTTTTTTAAGGGGGGCTAAAGTAGAGCATTTACTTGCGAAGCTTCAGGGTTGAGGTATTTGAAGCTTGATTCGCCTTGAATTGAGTCACGCTTTTAACCCAAGTAAAACCCTAAACCCTAAGATGCTTTGTGGCTAGTTTCTATTTCTGGTATTCTTCCAGGGCCCTGGCTTGCTTAGGAAGCTTAAGTACCCTGAGACTTGTCTATGTAAATAAATGCCAGCATAAAAGTAATGTAGGGGCCTAAATAATTACCAATGCTATTTTTAGGGCTCCATTTTATAATTATAGTATAAGATACCCCTTATTCAGGCCCCTACATTAGATGTGGCACTACTACGGCGACGGTGATGGCGACAAGACGGCGACAGGGACTCCTACCATTCCTTTGGACCACGCTCCTGCTCTGGCTACCTTACTGTCATTGCTTACCCAGAGAGCCCAATACCCCTTAATTAAGGAATCCTTGCTTAAGATCTGCTTCGTTTCCCTCGCCAGTGTCAGTAGTGTAATGTTAGGCATGGCATCGTGCTTCATACTCTTTCCCCAATCTGCATCGAAACTACAGTTTATGTTGCATATCAGCCCCAACTCCTAATTCAACCCTAAACCTTATAAATCTTAAACCCTAAACCCCTAAACCCTAAACCCTTAATTCCTAAACCCTAACCCCTGAATCCTAACCCCTAACCCTGATACTAAACCCTAACCCCTGAATCCTAAATCCTTAAGTCTTAAACCCTAAATCGCAGTAGCGTCGGGACCGGCTCTCATGAACCCGCAACTCTGCTCCGAGGAAGAAGGTGCGCATCCTGGGCGAGGACTTCAACCCGAAAGTCTCTTAGGGTTTAGGGTTTAGGGGTAACCCTGCCAAACCGACGGATCTCGCAACTGTCTAGACCCAGAGAACCCAATACGCCTTAACTAAGGCACATACCTTAAACCATAATGTATAGGCCCCTATAACTGAAGGTATATTCCTTAATTCAGGGGTGTTGGCATCTCTGGGGAGGTTACAATAAGATTGTCAAGCCTTCTTGCACTATGAAGTTTGTTTTAGGCAGTGTAACAAGAACATACAAAAAAGTAGGGTATGGTTGTTCAACCCCATGCTTACAGGGACCTTATAGTTAGGCCCTAGACCCCTTAAGGACCCAATAATAAGGTCCCTGGAAGCATAGGGTAAGACTACCTTTAGCCCAAGCTTGTAAGACGGAGTAGGAAACCGTAAGCCTTTAACAAGCGCCTCTCCAGCTCTAAGACCCTAAACCCTAACCCTCAGCCATGTAAGTCCTAGACGGCCCTAAACCCTGAACCCACAAGCCTTAAGCCCAAACCCAAATGGCCTTTCTTGAAGCCCCATAGGACTTCCGTCCGCAGCTGGAGGAGCACTCCGGTCTTGCAGCTGGGGCGTTGTTATATGTATTGTATTGCAGCAGAAGCCAGAAAGTTGGAACATCAATATTCTCATGCCCTTGAGGTAAAGCATAAGGAATCCTAGTACTAACCAACTTAAATCCATGTTCCAACTTGCTGGGCTCGCTGTATACTATACAAGGTCATAACAAACTATAACATGGTGTGCTACATTATATAATTTATATTGGATTAGATTGTCTTATACTATATTGAGCTTCATTCTACTATACTGTACTATATTGTGTATTACATCGTATTATGTTATACTTTACCATAAAAGAAAGCATTCTTCGGGACTCCATTGTTCTCAGGAGGCAATGGGGGAAGGGTCCCCTATGAGAATCCCTTCCCTAAAGTCCTAAGTACCTATTTGGGGAATATGTAGCCAAACCATAATAGTAGTTCATACAACAGAAACCTTACTGTTTACTGTATAAGTACTTAGGACCCTTTGGGTTATAGCCTTAGAACTCCCTTCCCCCATGTCCTCCTCAGAACCCGGGAGTCATTGAGGAAGCTCTGAGATGCCACACCAGACTTATGTACTAGACATTGTGTTTTCATTCATAGTATCACCCAAGCCCGACCTCTAATGCCTTAAAGGCCTGTGGAAAGCCCAGGCACTCTCCCTCTTGCCTTCCTTTCTGGGCGGCCGAGCCCCACCCGAAGAAGCGGGGCGTGCTGAGCGCGTCCCTTTTTCCGACACAGGTCCCTAACGCTGTGACGATAGGGCCGGTCATTTTAGAAATCACGACTACCACGGCTGATGCTCGACATCTTGCATGTCCCATAAGAAGGACTTGTCTACAGCCCTCAAGGTTTGCGACATTTAACATAATGCAGAATTTGTCCATCAGCCATCAGCAGCATCACTATTCATATTTTACAATGAGCTGTTTTCTTGTTGGTAAGTAGCTGTACATTCATTGTCACGAGAACATAGCTGTGGCTTTGCAACCAGACTGCGCTCTAAACTCTACACCTTAAAACCCTAATGAGCACCATCATGAGTCTGAG